CCGGCCCCCCCTTAGAGGAGATGAGCATTCTTTCTAGATGGGAGATTCTGGGCGCCCCACTCCACAGGCGCAGGGCGGCAGGATAGTAGCCACTTTCCGGGCTCCTTGCATCTGATCTCAGGGCTGTCATCGCTGCCAAGCCCAGATGGTGCTGTTGGGCTATTGGAGTTCCCCGCACAGCCTGGCCTTCTGCACCCCCTCACCCTCTGTGTGACAGATTTAATTCAAGTCCCTGGCACCTCCTCCTTCCATTTGATGCAAAGCCAGCAAACCTAATACAGGAAAAGTCGAAGAAACCAGGTGCTAAATCATCCAAGGGCAGGCTGCTTGCCAGCTTTCCAGACTCCCCGTTGTCCAAGGCAGGCTTTCCTTCAAACACAAGTACATGAAGCCAAATGCACCACCTAGATCCTACACTCTAGCATCATAGAATCTCCAGGACGGATGGAACCTGCCCATCGTTAAATAGCTGCCAGGCCTCCTCGCCCTCCTCCTTCCCCAGCTGTAGAGCTGCTGTGTGCCCGCTCTCATCCCTTGGCCCTGAGCCCTGATCGCAGGCAGGAGCCGCCCGTGACTGCTGACAGTGGGAACGAAGCTGCTGAAAGCTAGGCATGTGGTTAAGTGCTTCACATTCGCGATCGTGTTTATCACATTTATAGGTAGAGAAACGAGGGTTTGGCCAGATTAAGTGACTCTCCCAAGGTCACACAAGCCATAGGTTATGTGGTCAGGATTTGCACCCGGGATGTCAAGCTCAAACTGGCATTATTGACCTTAGCCCATGTTGCCTTCCACTGACAGTGAAGCCCCTCACAGTGGGGCCTCTGGTTGCTGTGATGCCTGGTTAGCGTAGAATGAGTGGAAAATGTACCACCCTAAGCGGTGACACTGCAGTTCCTCTTGAGGAAGGAGCCGTTTTTGCTTTTTTTGCTTAAGAAAATGCCTTTAATAAGCCACCCATTGGAGAAGAGGAACTCTCCAAGGTAAGGGCATTGGCAGAAATCAAATTAAGAAAAGGACTGGCCTCACTGCTGTCCAAGAGCACTTAAGTGGTTTTGGTTTGCCCCAAGCAGAGAGACAGGTACTTGTGGGGTAGAAGGTGATGGGCTCCTTGGTGATGTATCCAAAGAACCCTTTATGGAGGGGGGGGGGTATCGTGTCTGCATTGCTATAACCTCTTGCTTCCTCTCAGGTCACTGGAGCACACACGCACACACATATGCTGGCACGTTTGAATTTTGTTGTGTGCAGAAATGGGAGAGGGAACTGAGCTTCGTGTCATTGATGCACGGCAGGGAGGAGACCCCGTCATTGCCTAAAACGAGGTAACAGAAGTCTGGAGTCAGCTGGGACTGCCAAAATGTCAGCGCCTTAGAGAGCAGACATCCAAAGGCCCAGTTATCAGATGTGCCTGGGTCCCAGGGGGTACGTGGGCCTCAGCTGACCTATGGGCTACAAGAGGGAAGAATCTGGCCTTGTGGCTGGGCTGCAGGTGAATGCACCGTGGGTTTGAAGTGGAAGGAGACTTTTGACTTTGTGGCCGATTGCAACTGGAACGTGTGCATCCATCAGGATCCCCCGGCAGGAGTGCCCGATGGGAGAAGTTTGGGACCTCCAGGCCGTTGACCTCCAAAGAGGCCCACAAAGGCCTCCACACATCCAAGACATTCCACAGCGGGGAAACGTCAGCTAAGTTGGGGCCCAGGGAGCCTTCGGCCAGCTCAGCAGGGCCTTTCCTTCTCTCATCCATCACTGACAGCGTGAGGTGGGGCTGAATGGGTCTTGGTGGGTCTGAAGGCACAGGCCACATGCCAGCTTGCACCCTAGAAAACCTCATATATGCATGCCTCTAGGACTCATTCAAAGCCATCCAAGAGATAAACCCTTCAGAGCTGGCGCATCAACACCATGTTGATTGAGAGCAGAGGCCCAGCAGGACAAAGGGCAGAGGGGGAGTCCAGGGTGACAGCAAGTGCTAAGCCCCAGGGGAGAACAGAGCCACCTCTGGCAGTGTGCTGAGCCTGAATGGGGAATGGGCCTACCAGCGTCCCCACCCTGCCGCTGACTAGCTCTTGGCTCCTGGGATTCAGATCCTCCATCTATAAAATGAGGGGACTGAACTGGTGTCGGGAGTGTGGTTATTCCTGGGTCCACTTGTCAGGTGACATCCTCAGTCTTGCCTCGGAGGCACGGTGAGCATGAAATGGCACAGCGAGACTACCAAATGGGCTTGGGATGCCAGCACGGGGCCCAGGAGAGGGCCACACGCTGGCATGGGAACCACACCTGGAGAAGGGAACTGAGAAGCTTGAAGGAACAAAGTGGTTGGACTCGAGGGAGTGTTCTAGAAGGGAGGGCTGCAGGGTCTGGCCATATACTGGGAATGGCAGCATAATATAGTTTTAAGGAAGGATTCCGACAACATTTTCCTGAGATGGGGAGGTCTTCCAGGTGGAAGCATTTTGAAGTCATAATCTGACCTCGAGTCTCAGAGAAAGTCAAAAACAGCACGCGGCTTGGCCTAATGGCTGTAGCAGCAGATGGGAGGATGCTAAGTCCAGAGACAAGATGACAGTCGTCAGGGCTCGTCCCCAAACATCTGCAGTCTGACAGCAAACAGAAGCCTCACCTGCAGATGCAAAGGAAAGTACGGAAGCTGAGGTGTCCCGTTCTAATGGCTTCGGATTCACTTGGACACGGCCCCTCAGACCCACCTCGGAGAAGGTGGGTGCCCAAGGCTCACCTGCAGGTGCCTGCAGCAGGGCCTGCTGTTACTTGGGGGATCCTGGACCCACCCCCCCAAACCGCTTCCGTCTCCCTGGGACTTGCATCAAGACCAGCGTTCCTCAGGACTTGAGCAAGTGCCGAGGCAGGTCTCTCCCACTTCCCCAAGGTCGATGAGAATCCATGTAATTCATTTTCTTTATACAAAACAGTTTCCGAGACCCCTACCTCTAATGAATGCGTGTGCATGATTCTTTCACTGAAACAACCCACGGAAGAGCCATTTCTTCTTCCTTCCGCCTGGAATCCCAAATGATCCCAATTTCTTATTTCTCCCCCTGCAATGTCACAAAACCTTCCAAGACCTTTCTCCTTCCCTTTCCTCCTCGCCCCATCCCCAGGCGTCACGGAATCCCCTCTTAGCTGGGAGCAATGAGTCTGGAACGGTGATAGTAAGAGCTTATGATCCACTCACACAGTTTTATCAGATGTTACAGCCCCGAAGCCCCAAGACCACATTCTTGCAAGCCCCCACCCCCCAGCAATCAGATACCATGAAGACGTTTTTCCCAAGTGCAGAATCGTATATATTCTGAGTGACGGAGCTATTGGCATTCAAGTTTTGACCAGTTTCAAGATGCTACTATCAGATAATGGGAAGACCTTATACAGACACTGCAATTTATGTTACAGAAGGAAGACTGTTGATATAGGAGAGTCAAGAGTTCCAGGTTAGATACGATCCATCCAGAAGGCTGTGCGAATACACGAGAGCCTTAATCCTTTCAGGTGGTAAGGCCTCTGAGAAGCTGCATCCTTTCTCATGGTCTAGTGTGCTAATGCCAAGAATCCATGGCCTTTTTCTTGACTCCCTCAGAGGAGGGACGATGAGAAACTTCTAAAGCCAGATGCGGGAGGTATTCTTTTACCACCTCCCACATGATGCACAGTCTCATTAATTAACTCACTTCAACCTCAAAGCAGCCTCAAGAGGTAAAGGGGCATCTCCCCTATTGGAAGAATGGAAAAATGGGAGGCAGAGTCCACCTGCCTGTACAAGGTGAGTCAGCTCTTTAAGGGGAGAGCCAGGACCAGGATGTGGCTCTGTGGCCACATCTGTGGCTCCTTCCAGCAGCCTGGCGGGCGGCCGTAACAAGTGTGGCCCAGACCCGCGACCAAGGCTCCCAGGGCCCATGGCCAGTGTGGGAAATCCGGGGAGGAAGCTGTGATCCAGGTGCGATCTAGCTTTCTCTGCTTCCAGGCAGGGGCTAGATCTCAAGCAATGGTGCCAAGGACTACAGATGTCACTAGCAGCTGGAAGCACCCTCCAGCTGCTCTGCTCGGGGCGGGGCCTGCTAGCATCCTTTTAGATAAAGTGGGAGAGACTGGGCTTACAGTGAACAGTGGGAATGAGCGAATGCAGCTTCCAGAGGGTCACCACTTGGTTCAGATGTTTACGTAGAAAGCATTTGGACAATTCCAACAAGAACAGACCTTGAACTATCCTTCTGAACCCACCCTGAGTGGTAAAGATAAGGTAAATGTCTTAACCTGTCTAAAGGTGAAGTATTTATCATTTGTCAACTGTACAAGACACGTTACTAGAGTTACAATTGAGTGGCATGCAACCTAGGCTGGACTGCATTTAAACTACAACTGTGTAGTGCGGTATCTCCATTACATGGAGCCAAACGCTTTTCAACTGCGCGTTACTTGGTGAGATGTGCTTTTAGCCACAATATTTTAAAAGCCAATTTCTATTTAAATGTGTTGTGGAAAAAAATGTACTAGTTTTGACTTTGTACACATTTTACATGTACAGCAGAGTAAGTACAGGGATTTATACACCCAGATGGGTGTTGCTGCCTTCACACTAGTCACCTTGGGAAGATGTACGTGTAGTCCAGTGAAGCTGACCTTAACTCAGACTATTTCTAGAGCCTTCCTTGGAAACTGTCCACTTGAAAGCTTGCTTCCTCATTGTTGTCCTTTATGGGTAGACTGGTGTTTTGAGGGATGATTTTTTTTTTCTTTTTTGGAACAGTCGAAGAGCATTAGAAGGTAAGTCTGATAAAGAAAATGGGTGATGGAGCTTGGAACTACCTCTGGGAAGGGTAGTGTGAAAAAATGAAGTCTGACTATAAGGCTGTGAGGCATCTTTCCTTGCAGGGCTTCAGAGATAATCCCAAAGACGACTTCCACCCATTCTTGGCACGTGCAACATCACAGCTCAAGAGTATGGTCTCCCAAGGAAACAACACAGATTATGATAACTCTTGAGTGCTTATGTTTTAGTGTATTTGGTTAAAAAGGGAGCCTTGCTCACTCTCATCATACTTCATTAAGTGGAAATGGAAAACCCACCTCCGCGATTTCTCCCAAGGGAAAGATCATCATCTGCTGCTTCAAGAGTTAAAGTGAAAAGCACTTGGTGTCCTGTCCACACTATCCAACCCCCTCCTCCCCTAAAATGTGCAATGAGTAATTCCTGAGTCTCCCCAGTTTGGAAAAGTGGGTAAGGACCGGTCTCTGGGACCTGGCTAGGACTAGAATGTCAAGGGGATTAGAGTGTGTTTCCAATGGCTCTATCTACCCAACAGGCCCACAACACCAATGTATACAAGAGAACCTCCTACAGCTAAGCAGTACACAAAGTTTTAGGAGAGAAAGGGGGAAATGATTATCTTCCAGTAAGCTTTCTATGATAAAAACCCACCGGCTGCTGGATGACAAATGAACAGAGTCCATTGACAAGAAAGTTCATGGCATTCAATTCTAGTGCACGCAGAAGAAAGAAAGTGTGTGGCCACTAGCTCGTTGAAGTGCATTTCCAGCTGAGGCCAAAGGCAGCAAAGGTGCAAGAGGCTGCTGGGGCTGGCATTAGTTGAAGCAGGGTCTATAAATTCGGAGTGGCAAAGCAATTTGTAGAAAGCCCCAGTTACACAGCAGGTACCTGCCAACCAGTGAAGTCAAGTAACGCTCAATCTCAAACTTTCTACAAAGTGCTTCGTCGAAAATGCTAATGAGGAAGCTCCCTAAAACACCATATCCTGAGTGTCAGAGAAATATGGCCAAGATGGTGATTGACGGGGAGCAGAGACTGAACTGTGTATTCTTCAAGCATCACACACACACACACTTAACGAAGGGCACATTCCATCTCTTCTGCACCGGCCTCCATCCGGTGGTGGCCTCCGAGGACAGTACTTCCGGGAGCCCTTCCAAGTCCACGGGCTCTGCTGATAGCAGCCAGAAGCAGCGACAGAGTCAGCGCCTTAAAAGTCAGCCGTGGTATCCAAGTGCTTGCGGCAGACACCGATCCGTCTCAAGTTGATCAGTCGGGATGTTGCTCGTGGTGAGTGTTTTTATTTCAGTCTTTGTAAAAACTACAAAGCTAAGCCGTTTGCTTAAATCACCGTTAGAAAGAATGCGGAGTGCCCAGATGGGATTTCTTAGTTCCTGTGCAAATGAAATCACGTTAGTCCAGATTTTATTCACTCAAAACTATAGGGAAGCTGTAGGATTTGGTTTAAATGCTGCCAAAAAGCAGGAATTCACTTAAGTTTTAATTCTGAAGCAATCCTGTTGTTAATGTTGTAGCCGGGGTCGGGCAGCATGGGGGGCGAGGCCCCCGTGGTGCTCACTGAGGAATCCCGGATCTCTCCCAGTTCAGGCTCACTCTCACTAGAGGTAGACCCATTGTTGATGGCGTAGACGCTCTCTGCGACTCCCTGAGCTGAAGCGCAGCCATCTGGCTCTTTCTTCTCCCTGGGACTGGACAGTCCTGGGAGCACAGCCATCTTGCCAGTCTGCCTATTGGGCAGCAAGGACATGGTGTAGTCCGCGATGATGCCACCCACGTCTAAATTGCACGCCTGGTCGAAGGCTAGGAAGCCGACGTTGGCGTTTGCCTCGCACACCACAAAGGAGCCGTCGTCCATAATGAGCAGATCGATGCCACAGAAGTCCATGCCCAGGATGTTAGATACCTGAATAGCCAACTGCTTGCCTTGTTCTGTCAGCGGGCACATGACGCCCACACCACCTGCGGGGAAAGCACAGCGACATAATGGTGACATCAGACACTAGGGCCATGCTGACCCTTCAGAGAAGAGATGGGGCGGGGGGGGGAGTGCTGAGGAGAGGCATCTCCTGAGGGAGATGGGCATTCTTAGTACCCACAGAAGATCCGCTTGGAAATCAGGATGCCCTTTGGGAAAACAATAGGGTCACTGCTTATTTAGGAGTTTTAAAAATGTTTATTTCCTCTGACCTACCACTAAGGAAATAGTCTTACGTAACGGGAAAAAAAGCTGTATCACAAAGACGGTGTTGGCAGAGGTACTTAAAATCCTGGAGGGGAGCCTGGGTGTCTCAGTCGGCAATCGGCTGCCTTCAGCTTGGGGTCACGTTCCTGGAGACCCCGGATCTGCTCAGCGGGGAGTCTGCTTCTCCCTCTCCCTCTGCTCCTCCCCCTGCTTATGCTCACAGTCTCTGGGCCTCTCTCTCAGATGAATGAATAAAATCTTAAAAAAATAACATAAAATACTGGAAAATAAAAATCCTGGGATATAGCAGGCACTCACTAAATATTTGTTGGTGAGTAAATGAAAAACTAGAAACCTCTCACAATAGAAGGAAGCAGCATATTTTATAATCATGAATAATAATGCCCATTGAGAGTTTGTTATCCCACGGAAAAATACTTGGAAGGATTAAAGACTGCAGCATGACCACAACCGTGCCAAAAGACATTGCCAGAAAGAACAATACAGAAATGTTAACAATGCCTGTCTTTAACGGACGGGATTAATGATAAATATCTTTTTTATTGGACTTTGCCGTATTTTCCAAATTTTCTACATGAGAATGCATTCCTTTTGTACAGAAAAAGGCAAAATTAACATTATGTTGGGGCGCCTGAGTGAACCAGTCAGTTAAGCATCTGACTCTTGATTTTGGCTCAGGTCATGACCTCAGGGCCGTGGGACCCAGACCCACATCAGGCTCCACGCTCAGCATGGAGTCTGCTAGGGATTCTCTGTCTCCCTTTGCCCCTCCCTCCACCTCCAAAATAAATTTAAAAGTCCTTTTTTAAAAAATTAATATTATATTTTAGGAAGAGGGAGATGGATAGGCTTGTGAGACAAAATCCCATACCAAAGATAGTCTGACTGTCCTTACCTACTACGAAGCTAAGACCTCCATGGAAAGACTTAACAGTCTCCATGGAAAGACTTAAGACCTGTATTCTCAGGTCCAAGGATTCATGCCTTTTCCTTAACGCCATCCCTTCTCCACCTGCTAGAATGTATAAGGAAAAGGCTATAAAAGAGTTTTAGACTAGCTCACCAAGGAGAGCAACATGGGCAAATGGCAAAACCATCTGGTTCCTACGTACTTAAAGAATGCATCTTGTAAGGTGACTACAAAAGACAACATAATACACGAGGTTCAACATGGTGGCACCACACACACGCTAATGAGATGAGACTGCGTCTTGAGTACTTAGCACTGTGTCAACCTGAGCCTGGCATCTGCCCCCATCACAACCACTCCATCAAGTGTCCTGCAACGATCTGCTTTCAGGTCTTCTCCTTTGTGGGGCCGTGAGCCTCTCTCATTAATTACACACGTTCTTGTAGAGTCCGCTTCTGCCAACTGCTTAACCAGTATTAATAAAGGAAGAGCCGAATTGGTGTCTCAGTCTCTTTATTAATCACTAGCCTTGGTATACTCACCGGGGCATTTAGGATATAACCGTGGGCACTTTTTTTTTTTTTTCTTCAGATTAGCAACATACACATTCATTCGATGAGGGTGACAATAGCTTTTTGTGATGGGGACAATAATTTATCTCTCTCCTGGAACATCTCCATCCACCATAATAGAAAACAAGATTAACAATAGGTTCGTGGGATGGTGTTATGCATTTGATCCAAACATGAACTGCAGCTTTCTAATAATATCATACATATAGGAAAAACCCAATCTTCAATTACAACGTAAACACGAAATACACTCTGCCTTCTGCATTGCCTTAGTGTCGACTCTCATTATTTCTTGCCTCGACAGTTGTAAAAATCTTCTAAGCTCCTCTCCTTGCCTCCTGCCTTCAATCCCTCCTCTACCCATGTGTAAGTTTTTCTCAAGCCTGGGTCCACATGTCACTGCCTAGTTTAAACCTGACTGCTGAGTCCCAACGCCTACCAGACAAGGCTCCCTCTCAGCGTCCCGATGCCCAGGCCTGACCTGTGTCACAGCACCGTCTGTGACACTGACCCATCTGTCCTTTTCCCGGGCTGCTTGCTGTGACAGGACAGGGCTTGTTTCTAATCCTTATCTGTGATCCTGGTGTGCAGCGGAAGACCTGACAAGATAGGAGGGATCGATCCACATTTACTGAATGGGTGCAAACAACCTAATGAAAAAATTGACCATGAGCTTGTCTACCTTACCGAGAGAGCAGTTGCTCTGCATCCGTCCATCTGTGGAGCAGCGAAGCATTGAGCCTATCACCCGGCCCCCTACCACCACCACCCGGATATCTTTGCCATGTGACTCCTTCACATATTTCTGGAACAGGTAGGGCACATCATGGCGTATCAGATGGCAGATGTCTGAGAGGTGATGTTTATCTCTTGCAAGAAAAACAGCTTTTCCTGAAGAAGAAAGACAGAGCAAGAGGAGTGGTTAGAGAAGCCTCTGCCCTCCTATCTCCCTGTCCCTACCGCTGTCGTTTCTTTCTGAACTTGCCTTACCTGAGCCCCTTCCCTTTCTCTGACCAGACTCTCGCTTCTTCTTAAATGGCCGCCAAACTTTCTCTTGGCTTTCCTCAGCTCCCTCTCCCTCTACCACAACTCTTCTTTCAGGAATAATAATGTGTTCCAGAAACACACAGAAGAGACCAAGATAAAATCTTAAGGCTCTGGTCAATTCAGTTCCAAAAGCAGTTAGCATCTCCTCTCACCCCAGGATTAGGCTGAGTCTAATCTCCAGCCCACTTTGTGAAGGCCCCAAAGCCCACAGTGGGTCGAGGTACAAAGCTGAACCTCAATCAGTGTTTACAGAACACAATTAATGGAACACACTGTAGAGGAATTCCAAGTCTAGGCAGAGAGAGACCCCCAAAAGGTAAGCACAACACAGCAGGATATGGCATTAAGAGAGGTCTATGCTATGGACAAGGTCTGGGAGTCCAAAGAGGGAGCCTCCGACAGACTCCCTCCTCCTTCTAAACATGAGAAACTTATTATCTGGCTGTACCTGTTTAACTCTAAAAAGGAATGACCTATACACTTCTATCTAGGGAAAGCATTTCTTCTTGACTCCAAATCCTTTATTTTCTGCCTGAATCACCAGTGCTTTTATAATCACTTGGCATCTCCCTTTCCCATTTACATATTAGCTGACAGATCTGAGTGGGAGTTCCTGATAGGTTTGCTCTAGAAATCTGACATGAGCGCACTCAGCCTGAGCCTTCCTGTTCACAAATATGGAACAAAGAGATGGTTTTCCTAAAATTTGTGTCACCACATTAAAAGGAGTGGGAAAAAAAATTAAAAAAAAAAAAAGGAGTGGGACCTTTCTGAAGTCTTAACAAAAAGAGTGATGGGTATCAGCCCCTCGGGGCATAGAAGACTGAGAAGTATCCTCCAACACATGTCTCTGCCACTGGACATTTGGCACCAGGAGACCTGGCGTCTGACCACAGATGGCTGGGATTCAATTATAGGCACTAGGGGTTCCCTGGGCATTACGTAGGATTTTCAGTAGAGATGGGGACTAGATATAGGGGCTTGGTTCCTTGGTTCCTGGCAGGTTCTAATATAGGACTTAGTCTGAAATTACTAAAGGAGCTACAGTTTTCAGGAACAGAGGAAAAGGGGGGAGGGGGTGGGAAAGAGGACTTAGATTAATCATCTCTCATGTGCCAAATAGATTGTTTTCTTATCATTTCATTTACACCTCATATTAGCCCTATGAAGCCATTAGGACAGGATGGTTATTTTTATTTTACAGTACAGGGAAATAAAGGTCTACAAGATTAGTAACTTTCTCAAGGGCACAGCCCGTACCCTTGCACTGTCTTCTTTAGATTTATTTCTATAGGCCAGAGTATAACTGCCGCTATAATTTGTTTACTCCCGATCCATTTTCCCTAAGATACTATGTGTGACACCAGCAACGAACAACCTGAAAACGAAATTAAGAACACAATTCCATTTACCAGAGCATCAAAAGGAACAAAAAAGTTAAGGAATAAATTTAACCAAAGAAGTATAAGACTTATCACTGAAAACTACAAAACATTTTTGAGCGAAATTAAAGATCTAAGTAAATGGAAAGATACCCCATGTTCAGGGATCGGAGGACTTCATATTGTTAAGATAGCAACACTCCTCCAGCTGACCTACAGATTCAATACAGATCCCACCAAAAGTCTAACTTCCTTTTTTTTCTTTTTTCTTTTTTTTTTTTTTGCAGAAGTTGACAAGCTGATCCTAAAATTCGTATGGAAAAGCAAGGATGGGCAGCCCGGTGGCTCAGCGGTTTAGCACCACCTTCAGCCAAGGGTGTGATCCTGGAGACCTGGGATCAAGTCCCACATCGGGCTCCCAGCATGGAGACTGCTTCTCCCTCTGCCTGTGTCTCTGCCTCTCTCTCTCCCTCTCTGTGTGTCTCACATTAAAAAAAAAAAAAAAAAAAAAAAAAAAAGGAAAGGCAAGGATGCCAAATATCCAACACAATCTTCAAAGAAAGAAAAAAAAAAAGGGCAAAGTTGGAGCACAACTTCCCAACTTCAAAACTTATTACAACGTTACAGTAATGAAGAGAGTGTGGCCTGGCATAAGATGAGAGACGTACAGACCAATGCAATAGAACCGAGAGCCCAGAATAAACCCTCATATAGACAGGTGATTTTTGACAAGAGTTACAAAAACATCCAATGAAGGAAAGAATAGTCTTCAACAGATAATACTGGGAAAACTAGATAGCCACATGCAAAAGAAGGAAGCTGGACTCTTTCATCACACCATATACAAAAATCAGCTCAAAATGGATCAAAGACTCAAAGGTAGGAGCTAAAACTATAAAACTCTTAGAAGGAAACACAGGTGTCAATCTGTGTGACCTTGGATGAGGCAGCCACAAAATGACATCTAAAAGCACAAGCCACCAAAGGAAAGAAAAATAGATGAATTGAACTTCATCAAAATCAAAACCTTTTGTACATCCAAGGATACTATCAAGAAAGTGAAAAGACAAACTACAGGGTGGGGAAAAAAACATGTTCACATTATGTTTGTATGTTGTGAACTCTTAAAAAAACTCAGCAATAAAAAGGGGCACTTGGGTGGTGCAGTTGGTTGAGCATCCAACTCTTCTTGGTTTTGGCTCATATCGTGATCTCAGGGTTGTGAGATCAAGCCCTTCAGCAGGCTCTGCCCTCAGCATGGAGTCTGCTTAGGATTCTCTCTCCCCCTCCTCCCGCAAAACAAATAAATAAATCTTTAAAAAGAAAAAAAAAAACTCTCAGCAATAAAAAAGACCAATAATCCAACTGAAAAGAGGGCAAAAGATTTGAATAGACAGTTGTCCAAAGATCTACAAATGTCCAATAAGCACAGGAAAAGATGCTCAACGTCACTAGTCATTATGAAAATACAAAGCGAAACCACATTAAGATGCCTTACACCCACTGGGATGGTGGTAATAAAAACAAATCACATGTTTGAAAGTTGCTAAAAGTTCTCATCATAAGAAAAAAAAATTCTGTACGGTGATGGATGTTAACTAGACTTTGACCATAATGTATATAAATATTGAATTATTATACTGTACAACTAAAACTGACATTAATTATGCTGTATGTCAATTAGACCTCAAAGAATATTTTAAAAATTCAGAAAGAGAGGGAAAAATAAAACGAGATGAAATCAGAGAGGAAGACAAACCATGAGAGACTCTTAATCACAGGAAACAAACTGAGGGTCGCTGGAGGGGAAGGGGTTGGGGGTATGGGGTAACTGGGTGATGAGCACGTGATGTGATGAGCACTGGGTGTTATATAAGCCTGATGAATCACTGACCTCTACCTCTGAAACCAATAATACGTTGTATGTTAATTAATTGAATTTATTTATTTATTTTTTAAGATTTTATTTACTTATTCATGAGAGATGCACACAGAGAGAGGCAGAGACACAGGCAGAGGGAGAAGCAGGCTCCATGCAGGGAGCCTGACGTGGGACTCGATCCCGAGTCTCCAGGATCGCGCCCTGGGCTGAAGGCAGGCACTAAACCGCTGAGCCACCCAGGGATCCCCAATTAATTGAATTTAAATAAAAATACATACATCCATACATCCATACATCCATACATCCAATGGGCCCCTACATTACTAGTGCTTGGAAAACATGTAATTTGGCCTGTGGCTTGTTTTTATGATGTAAGTATGGTGACTATTAGCTTAATTTGTCAAGACAAAGAAGACATTCATATATGTATATTCTAAGAGTTAGGCCTGCCCAGTTTTTAGGCTACAAACTCTCAGATTAATACATACAGTCAGGGGCACCTGGATGGCTCAGTCAGTTCAGCTCAGGTCATGATCCCAGGGTCCTGGGATCAAGTCCCATGTCAGGCTCCTTGCTTGGTGGGGAACCTGCTTCTCCCTCTCTTTCCTGCCCATGCTTTCCCTCACTCTCTCTCTCAAATAAATAAATTAAATATTTAAATATATACATATATATATACACAATCAAAAAGTTTTATTTAGTATTCTAAAAAAATAATAAATACATAAATGAGTGAATGAATAAAATAAGGATTAGGGAGGATGTGGAGAAATCTGAACCCTTGTGCACTACTGGTAGGCCTGTAAAATGACACAACCGTTGTGGAAAATAGTTTGGCAGTTCCTCTGAAGCTACACAGAGAGTCACCACATGACCCCACAGCTCACACTTAGGTAGTAGATACATACCCAGGAGAAATGAAAGCATATGTTCACCTCGACGCTCATACACACGCCCACAGCAGCATTATGCATAACAGCCACAAAGTAGAGACAACTAGACGTCCCTCAGCTGATGAACAGATAAACAGAATGTGGTCTATCTGCACAACAGCCTATTACTGAGGGATTATTAAGAAGGAATGAGGGGCTGATCTATGTTACAACATGGATGACCCCTGAAGACAACATGCTAAGTCCAGGAAGCCAGACACAAAAGGCTACGGTGTAGGATTCCATTGATAGGACACGTTCAGTATAGGCAAATCCATAGAGCAGATTTGTGGCTGCCAAAGACTAGGGGAGGCAACTGCGACTGACCCCTAGTAGGCACAGGATTTCTTTTTTGGGATGGAAAGGTTCTGAAGTTAGACGGTGGCTATGGTTGCACACAATAGTGAATATACCAAAATCCACTAAATTGTACACTTAAAAATGGCGAACTGTTATGTGAATTACATCTCAATGTTTTATTGTAATTTTATTTTTAAAAAATGTTTTACGTATTTATTCATGAGAGAGCCAGAGACAAAGGCAGAGGGAGAAGCAGGCTCCCCACGGGGAGCCCGATGGAGGACTCGATCCCAGGACCCCGGGATCACGACCTGAGCCGAAGACAGACGCTCAATCACTGAGCCACCCAGGTGCCCCTATTTTTTTTTTTTTTTTAAAGAGAGAGCAGAGAAGTGAGGGTTGGAGGAGGAAGGGAGAGGGAATGTGAGAATCTCCAGCAGACTCCCTGTGGAGTGTGGAGCCCGACACACGGCTCCATCCCACAGCCCTGAGATCATGACCGGAGTTGAAACCAAGAGTCGGATGCTTAAGTGACTGAGCTACCCAGGCGCCCCTACATCTCAATTTTTAAAACGTTTGAAAATATGATGTATTTTATCTAATTTCTGTTTATTGTCTGTCTTACCTCTCTACGACATGAGCTCCTTGAGGACAGGGGTTTTTGCTTTGTTCCCTTCTGTATCCCCAGAGCCTACAACAGTGCCTGGCACTCTCTAGGCACTCAATAAATATGAGTTGAATTCTAAATTACTGTGTATTTTAGCACAACAACAACAAAAAAAAACGAGACATTGAACTTCAGGCCTGTAGCATATCCATCTGAATAGTATTAAGGGCCCCACAGTGCCCCCCAACTCATTCCTTTCTCCTCAGTAGGATCCCTGGGCTCCCACAGGTTGCTTTGCTCACACCTGCTCCTGTGTGTTTGCTTCCTCGCTTCCTCCAGTTGGAATTCCAGACTCCAACTTCAGTCTCCTTCTCCTCTGGGGAGGCCCTCCCTGCCTCATGGCAGAATCGGCCCCGCTGTCGGGCACAAGCAGGTGCTGGGCGAGCTTGCCTCGGAGGTTGTCACCTTGCGATGCAACCATCTCCACCCTGTGCACGCTGCAGCTCCTTGGGAGCAGCAGTGCCTGTGTCCAGTCCATGTCGCCACCCAGTCCCCAAAGCAGGACCCCCTCAGCACTTGTCTGTCCCAGGTGCCTCCCCTCACTGCAGTCGTCCTGGGGTCACATCGGCAGGTACCTGCCCTCACGTTGCAGGGGAGACCTCCCTGCTGCGTGCCTGCCCCTCTCAGTTCCAGGTCCCTGCTATGCCCCAAGCACCGGAGCAGGTGTCGGGGACAGAGGCAAGGGGCCGGGTTCCTGCCGCCGAGCAGCCTGAACCCACCGAGCGAAGGAAAAGGGCACAAACACCTGTGACTGTGTTAGAGGCGTGGACAAAGTGCCACAGAAACACAAGGGGAGAGCAAGTCACTCTGCTGCCAGACAGGGAGGGGGACCTGGGCTGGGCAGGGGGTAGGAAACAACAGTGGAGGGGGTGGTCAGCTGGGGTGGCCCTTCACGGGTGAGCGTAAGTCACCAGAGGTGGGAGGAAGATGGCCTTGCCAGCAAAGGGAAGAGAGCAGAGGTTTAAAGAAAAGAAAATCCAGGGGGATTCCTGGGTGGCTCAGCGGTTGAGCGCCTGCCTTCGGTCCAGGGCGTGACCCCAGGGTCCTGGGATCGAGTCCCGCATCGGGCTCCCTGCATGGAGCCTGCTTCTCCCTCTGCCTGTGTCTCTGCCTCTCTCTGTGTGTCTCTCATGAATAAATAAATAAAATCTTTAAAAAAAATAATAAAAAAGAAAAGAAAATCCATGGTCTAGGTCGTGAAGGAGAAGGGGTCTGCAGCGGGTTAGGGAGGGCTGATGCGGCCAGAGGGGCTGCCGAGGAAGGCTGAAGCTTCGGGGCCTTCAGAGCTGTGGTGAGGAACACGGACTTCGTGGAACAGGCCACGAGGCCCGTGGGAGGGCGTGTTTTTAGCGAGGGAAGGACAGGAACAGGTGGTTCAGAGGAATGAGTCCCTAAGAAGAGAGGATGCCCTGGCAGCGAGGTGGGGGAGGCCAGTCAGTCCATTCAGGAGCCTGCAGCCTAGGCCAGGGCGGGAATGAGAAGGGTCTGAGGAAGCAAGGACAGGGGGACAGAGAGGAGGGGACAGAGGGAAGGACCCCGAGCCCCTCCGGGGGGCCCCACTTCTCCCAGCAGATGCGCGGCCCCAGCGGAAGCCCCGGAGGAGCAGCACTGACCCCGGTGTCCTCGCGTGCTCTTCACCACGACCGGGTAGCCCAGGGGCTCGGCTTCGTCAATCATTTTTGAAAAGTCTTCATGGCCACCTGCCGAGAAAGGGTGAAAGTCAGTGCAGGTGAGGCCGGAGCGGTCGGCCCAGCGCGGCCCCTCGTGCGAATCCTCCCCAGGCCTCCAGGTCCTCCCATTAAAGCAGCTCAACCCCCTGTGACACCCGTGGGAGCAGGCAGGGGAGGCAACGGACGCGGATCAAGGACGAGGGTGTGCCGGGGGCTCCCGCAGTCCTGACAAGGCCCGGGCAGGGCGCGCACCCCAGCTCCGCGGCTGTGGCCCCCCCACGCCATAACGGTTGGAATAAAACCACGGCAGGGCTGTGCGCGCGCACACACACACACACACACACACACACACACACAAACACACACGATCAGGGGCGGGAAGAAGGTATCAACAGTCAGTTTTACTAGAAGGGAACTCCGGGGACGACGTGGGGCTCCGCTAAGCGTCCCGGTCCGGGTCTCATGGGAGGTGACATCTGGCACTGCTGGAGGCCCCGTCCCTCTGCCCCTCCCCCGACTCGCATTCCCTCTCACCCTCATTCTCTCTCAAATAAATAAATAAATAAATAAATAAATAAATAAATAAATAAATAAATAAATAAATAAATCTTTAAAAAAAAAAGAAGAAAGCAGGAATTCCTGCAGACCGTGCCTCCTTTGCTGCCCTGCCCGCGGCTCCCCTGCGCTGTGTGAACTTCTGTCTCCTCTGTGTCCCCAGCCCGTGCCACCAGCCCCCAACTGGCTGGGACGCCCCACATTTGGTGGCCTGTATGGGGAAGGTCGGCTGCCCAGGGCTCTCCCTGGCAGGGCCTCAGCCTGGTGCACCCTGAGGAACTGATGACTTCCCAGGGGGAGGTTACCCCTTGGTGAGGACCCTTAGCCCCAGGGGGACCCACCAGATTGCCCCACCCCGAAAGGGTGAGGGATGTCCCCCTCGCCCTCCCTCCGGAGGGACCCTTCCTCCCTCCCCCCTTCTCTTTTTGGCTTGTGGGCGGTCTGACCCCTGTACTGCTCCTCAGACAGCAGAAGGTCTCTGGCCAGGGCAGCTCCCCGGGGGGCCTGGAGGTCTGAGGGCAAACAGGTCGGCCTACCTGGGCCCGTGAAGGCCAGGGGCCCTGTCTTCTCCTCTCCCACTCCGTCCCCCGAGGTCTCCAACCTGAGGAGTAATTGGCAGTGGAAGTTCTTCCCCAGTGAATCCACACATTAGGGACTCGGTGGGGACCCTTTCCTGATGCCTGATGCGCCTGCCTTCTTTCAGGCCCCCTGGTATTCCCTTTGTTCCCTCCGATCCAGCTGCCATTCTAATTGACAGGCAAACAATGTTCCCAAGTGTCTGAGTAAATCCCACAACTGCACATACAAATGACATTCAATAAGGACCCCAGACCATCAGAGGCTCCCCGCCCCCGAAATCCCATGGACCTGGCCGCCAAGGAATTTCATTCCCATCTCCAGTCAGTACAGTGATATAATACATGCTCTGGTCTGTAACTGCACAGAACCCCTGAGGGACAACCGACAAGTTGGGTTGTTTTTTTTTTAAAGATTTTATTTATTCATTCATGAGAGACACAGAGACACAGGCAGAGGGAGAAGCAGGCTCCATGCAGGGAGCCCAACGTGGGACTCGATCCCAGGACCCTGGGATCACGAGCTAAGCCCAAGGCAGACACTCAACCACTGGGCCACCCAGGCATCCCTGACCGACGAGTTTGGGTAGGGACAGCATAGCCACCTGCCAGCATGAAGAAGCTACTGAAGACGGGACCTCCGCCCAAATGCCAAAGATCTGCCCTGGTTGATCTGTCAGGGGGATGTAGAGACTGCTTTTAGGCAATGGGCTTGAGCGATGAGGGCCTGAATCAGGTAGAAGGGCCCACAGTGACCCTCTAGTTGGACCCTCTTACTGGAACAGGCTCATTAGGTGACCCACCTCGAAATATCCACAAGCCCTACCTGACCAACGGGACAACCAAGCACAGGAACCAAAAGAAAAGACAATTCCATACGTTCCCATATCCCCCCTCACCCCCCTTAACTACAGTCCCCCACAACCCCCCGACCACTGCCTCCAGGCCGATGACCGTGTCTCCTCTGCTGTCCTGCCTGCTGCTCCCTTGCAGTGCACTCAACAAACTTCTGTCTCCTTAAAAAAGCAAAAAAAGGGAACCCCTACTTCCTGACATCGCTGACCTATTTACCTCCTCTCTAGCTATCCTTTTTCCCTTCCCTATAAAACAGTGAGAGAGGGGCCCTGCTTACCCAAGGCCATTCCTGCACCTGTGCTTCACACCCCTTTCCCTCCTGCCTCCTTGGGGGTCAGGCGCCACTAAGCTCCCTCTAGAGGGTCTCCAACCTCCTAGTTCCATTGCCATTTTAAACACGCTCGACTCTCCCCCATCTTTGACAAAGAAGATCCTGATTCCTTGCCCCTGCCCCGCCCCTTAATGACAACCTTGAACCCCCACCATCAAGCTACTCAAACCGGTTTGCATTGTCTCACTTCTCATTCATTCCCTTGGCCTCCCTCGACAGTGGCTTTTCTCCCCATCACTAAACTGAAGTCCCTGCTGCTAAATCCAACACATGTCTCGGTGCTTATGTTACTTGTCCTTTCAGAACCAGATCACAGGGGCGCCGTGCGGCAGGGGGGGAGGGGGGTTGCTCAGCGGTTGAGCATCTGCCTTCAGCTCTGGTCATGATCCCGGGTCCTGGGATCGAGTCCTGCATCGGGCTCCGTGCTCCCCAGATGGGAGCCTGCTTCTCCCTCACCCTCTGCTCCTCCAACTCGCTTGTGCTCACTCGTTCTCGCTTACTCTCTCTCAAATAAATAAAATCTTTAAAAACAAAACCAAACCAGACAATACCTTTAATTATACCATCCTTCCTGGAATGTTCTTTCATTGGCATCTGTCCTCTCTCCTCTCCCTCTTCACCACTCCTGCTTGGTCTCATGGACACATTCCTCTTCCTTGACCCACTCTTGAAAGGGTTCCCTCTTGAGTCCTCTCACTGAATTTTATTTATTGTGGTAAAATATGCATAAAATTTACCACTTTAGGTGTACAGTTCAGCCCTCTCTTCATTCTATACATTCCCCTGAGCAATCTCACTCATTCTTGTGACTTCGCTTAACAGAGCAAAGGTTTCCAAATCCCCTCCTAGACGACAGCTCTCTCGGGAGCTCCAGATCCATTTATCTGCTGCCTACAGAATACACTTGCTTATACTACGGACATCTCAAAACAACAAGCCTCAAACAGAAATCATCTCTGCCCGACAACCTCTCACCCCCTACCCACCAACCTGTTTCTCCCCTCATGCTTCTCATCTCTGTGAATGTTTGCTTTCACGTCTGGTTGCCCAAATCGGAAACCAGAGTCACTCGATTGCTCTCTAGACTCCTCATATCTAGCCAGTCGTTACGTCCTGTTACTGCGATCTCCTTCGTAATTCCCAATGTGTTCACTTACCTTCATTCTTATTATGACCCCCTTATTTTATTATTTTTTAAAAATATTTTATTTATTTCTTTGAGAGAGAGAGAGAAAGAGAGAGAGGGAGCACAAGTAGGGAGAGCAGCAGAGGGAGAGGGAGAAGCAGACTCCCCTCTGAGCAAGGAGCCAGATGTGGGGCTCGATCCCAGGACCTTAGGATCATGGCCTGAGCTGAAGGCAGACGCTTGCCCTACTGAGCCACCCAGGTGCCCCCGGTCCCCTTAGTTTAGATCATCACCGCTCACTTGGATAGTTTAAAAAGCCCATCACCACATATCCTGTCGCCCTGGTCTGAGTCTTCCCTCATAGAACAGCCAAAGTGATCTTCCGAACTCCCATCAGGCCACCTCCTTGCTTACCGCCCTGTTATCCTCAGGAGTCATCCTAATCCACTTCACAGACTCTACACCTACAAACTACTCAAAATACCGCCCATCTGTCATGTTCTCACTTGACTCTAGGCCGATCCAGATTCTGCTCTGGGCTCAGGTTACTCCCCGTCCCTGCTGCTTCAGCTGGATAACTTCAGCTGAGTTTAGATATTCTCTTTCAGGAAACCCTCCTCCATGTCTCCCGAGCTGCACGTGGAGCCCTCCTGGGTATCCTGTCCCATGTCACGCTCACTCATCATGGCACTCACCACTGCCCTGACACTTGCTGTCCTCCACCACTGACAGCGGTGATGAACTGGGAGCGCCTTCAGGGCAGGACTCTCTCAGTCCCTGCTATAGCCCAGGACCTAGGATAGTGGCCGCCACAAAGCACGTACCACAAACATACGGAACGAGTGAATTACAGACACAGAGGGTGACCATGGTAAAGACCCAAGATGTTGAGTCACCTAAGATGAACAAATGCACACTGAAAACCAACAAGACCTAGAGTGCTTTGGGGGAGGGAAAACCTAGCGATGCAGGGTGCTTTGGAAAGGTAAGTTCCAATCCCAGGGACACTCACCATAGGAGAAGGTGTCTGGCATGGGAACCCCGTGTCCAGCCAGCTCTTGGAAAGTCCAGAACTTGTTGACGCAGTTTAAGATGCTCTGTGGGCGGTTGACCAGGCGGCAGCCCAGCTTCTCCAGGTGGCGCAGGACCGTGATGTCGCTGTCTGACTGCACAGAGGGCGTGGGCACCCGCACGAGCACCACATCTGGGAAAGTGGTGAGCGCCTTCTGGTTCAGCTGAAGGCCTGTAATTGAAGGACAAGAGTGAGCTCTGTGCTGGCCGTGGTCTAGTCCCTCCAGAAGAACTGGCTCCAACCGACTCCTCAAGATTGAACCCAGCAGGAAGACAGCCTTGAAAACGGCACTGGGAATCCTGTAGTAGCCAGAGGGCTACAGTCAGTGCCACACTCCACACAAATGGGCAGAGCATGATTATGAGGAAATGCAAAAGAACGAACAGGAAAAAAGAGAGAGAGAGAGAGAAGCAGCAGATCAAGAATAATCCAAGTTAGAAGAATCCACAGAGGAGAGATAAGATAGCACAGCATCTTCCCTCCAAGTGTAAGGGGTTGGGAGGTTGGAGACATAATGAAAGGGAAGCAGTGCAGCTCACTTAAGGGATCCTTATTAGTCTTTTATGACTTAACCTTTGAAAGTCTGTCTAGGGGCGTCTGGGTGGCTCAGTCGGTTAAGCATCCACCTTTGGCTCTGGTCATGATCCCAGGGTCCTGGGATCAAGTCCCCTACTTCCTGCTCAGCAGGGAATCTGCTTCTCCTTCTACCCCTGCCCCCTACTCATGTTCTCTCTCTCTCAAATAAATAAATAAAATCTTTAAAGAAAAAAAAAAGTCTGTCTGAAGGGGTACCCTGCTGGCTCAGTCAGTAGAGGATGCAACTCTTGATCTTGATGTTGGGGTCATGAGTTTGGGTCCCACATTGGGCACAGAGACTACTTAAAAAAAAAAAGTAAATGTCTGGAAAATTACATAACTGCTTAAATGATTTTTATGACTATAATGAATGCAAACATGCCAATGTTAAGTAGGAAAAAAAACAGGACACAAAATCATAAATACAAGTTAGAAAAGACTAGAAGGAAATATACCGACATTTTAACAATGGGTAATGGGATGATGGGTGATTTCCTACTTTACACTTATCTGTATTTTGCAAAGTGTCTCCAAGTGCATATTACCTTTAGAACAACAACAAAAATCTTTTTTTAAAAAATCAATCTATAAAAAAATTTTTTTAAATAAATAAATAAATAAATAATCAATCTAGGGCAGCCCTGGTGGGCTCAGCGGTTTAGTGCCACCTTCAGCCCACGCCGTGATCCTGGAGACCCGGGATCGAGTCCCACATTGGGCTCCCTGCATGGAGCCTGCTTCTCCCTCTGCCTGTGTCTCTGCCTCTCTCTGTCTCTGTGTCTCTCATGAATAAATAAATAAAATCTTAAAAAAAAATCAATCTACAAAAAATCAATTTAGTATCAAACAAAACTAGAATGTATCCAAAGACAAGCAGTCCATATAATGAAAGGACCTGTGCTTGTATTACACTTGGAAACTGGGAGTATTGGCTTGAAGTAAAGACTCAGAGGATCACGAGTTCAGTCTTGACGTATCTGTAGGGCTTCCATGCAGAAGACTGGTTTGGTTGGTCTTCTCTGACCCCAAGAGACACAGCTATCCATAAGCATTATTTTGTCTGTCAGTGCCTGGTGCATGACAGGCACCTGATGTTTGCTAAATTGTTCAGAAGCCACAGGGAGGTAGATTTGGAACCACACAGACAGGAAATGGGATGGGCAGGGCGATGAGATGTGAGTTCAGGGAATTACTAGGTCGGTTTGGTGAGCCTTAAAGGAGTCTCTAAAAGGCTCTAAAGAGGACCTTTTAAACAGTTTCAGAACCATCTTATAAACAGGCTTTAACTTAAGTGCTTTCTGTTCTGCAAGCGATGTGCCACACCACCAGATAATTCCGAGAACACAAAAAATGCTAATGAAACGTTAGTATTTCTCCACTGGGGGAATGAATAATATTAATATAAAAACACAAAGCAAAACAAAACAAAAGGAAGCAAACAGAAATCAAAACCACAAAGGTACTATATCATCTAGCTTGCCCAGTTTCCCCCCCTCTTCTAAGAGTTGCTCCATCAATTTAACAAAAGGGGGCAGGTGTGATTATTAGGATAAACTGTTCTCGGGACTTCTGCAAACAGTGTGAACCCCAGGAACTGGAACATAATTCTCAGGTGATGACTTATAAAAGAGCATTTGGGTTATCTTCACTCTGCCGTCAGAAAACAGAATCATTTATATGTTTTTTTTTTTCCTTTGCCACCTACAGCCCCCGGAGAAAAGAATATAAAAGGAGAAAAAAAGCAAACTCTGTATTAGCGTCCTCAAAAGTGACAGGAGAAGAAAGAAAGACAGGTATTCCAGTGGGTGAGAATGGTGAGTAAACACTCAGGGCAGAAGCGACAGCCCGGGACGACATCACGCGACGAGGGAATATGTGCAACTGTGCTCTGGAAAGTACACAGAGCCACCCACACGTGGGGCGCTGGCATCGCCACTGCACACACACACTCTACCGAGCAGGGTAGGACAATTTATGGAGCTTTGCACCTCCTGATGAGAGAAAAATGGCTTTGCAACAGAAAAGTGACCTAGAGAAATGAGAAGCAGCAGAAATGTCTGGCTTTCCAATCCCAACATGAGGCCACAGACGAACAGTTAAACTTCTAAATGGGAAGAAAAGAATTCAGTCGTTTCTGGAAATACCAACCACAGGTGGACGGAGACAGCTCAGCCTCAAGCAGGTTCACAGACACCTAGGAAGTCTTACCAGAACTTCATCTCTCTTCTCCAAAGGTAAATCTTTGGGCCTGGCTCATTCCAACTGAAGCCTTCAATAAATGAAGAATGGAATGGGTTAAAGCGGAGTTGGAAAGGCTCTACACCAAGCAGTTAGACAGGTGTGGGCTCTGAGCCTCCGGCTCCGTGCCGAGGGACCCGACAGGTTTAGGAACACCTCTGCACCACCGGCTCCTCCGCTGCCCACGTTCACGGCTCCAGTATTCCTGCTCTGGGCATCTTCGCCTGCCCTGCACATTTCTGTTCTCTTTGCCATCTAAACCCAGGGAAGTCACCAATTCCACAAGGAGCAGACAAGAGGCTGCCGCTCTCCCCCGTGGCTCCAGTGCAAACAGCGCTTCCACTTGGCCATGGCCAAGAACAGCTTGGGTGTGTAAGGTTGGCTCCTGGCAAACCTGCTGAGACCTTGAGCCACTTAGTAATGGCTCTCCCCCCATCCCCACCCCATCCATATCTGCTCTCAGGGAAAGACCTGATAAACTTAATACAGGATGCAGCTTAAATGGGTCACCTTTCCCAGAGTCCTTAGCACTTCCACTGCAATCTATAGGCCTCAAGCCAAGGGAATGAAGAGCTGATGCAGGACACCAGGGCAGGCAGGGCTCTGCTTGGCTGCCAGTGGATGGAGGGAAGAGGCTCGTGCCCCCAAATAACAAAAGATTTCATGTGACTAAGTGGCCCTGTGCTCTTGGGCATCACCTTGACTTGGGGAACAGGGCAGGAGGGAGGGAGTAGAGTTGTTTCTGGAATATTATTTAGGGTCTCCCAGACTCCTACAATGGGCTTGAAATGTACTGTTTAGCCTCAAACAACCTTTATTTTTTTTTTTTAATTAAACCACTCTGTCCCCAAATGGGTCACTAAGATAGTAAAAAAGGTCAAACCTCAAACTAATTAGTACAGTGACCAACAGCCAACCCAGCCACAACAATATTTTCTCCATATTAATTCTACAAACAATAATCTACTTTCGTGGATCGTTATGGGCTAATGTCCTTTTGATACCTGTTATTTATGTTTGGAAATATTTTACTGCATTAAAAACAAGTGGGGGGGGGGTCCCCTGGGTGGCTCAGTGGTTTAGCGCCTGCCTTCGGCCCAGGGCGTGATCCTGGAGCCCCGAGATTGAGTCCTGCGTCAGGCTCCCTGCATGGAGCCTGCTTCTCCCTCTGCCTGTGTCTCTGCCTCTCTCTCTGTGTCTCTCATGAATAAATAAATAAAATCTTAAAAAAAAAAAAAACAAGTAGGAAAGGGGGACAACTTTCCCCAAACACCTGGGCCTATTCTTTTCTAACTCGAGTATCAGGTTGGATTGAGTCTATAAAACTTGACTTTCGGGATCCCTGGGTGGTGCAGCGGTTTGGCGCCTGCCTTTGGCCCAGGGCGCGATCCTGGAGACCCCGGATCGAATCCCACGTCGGGCTCCCGGTGCACGGAGCCTGCTTCTCCCTCTGCCTGTGTCTCTGCCTCTCTCTCTCTCTCTCTCTGTGACTATCATAAATAAATTTAAAAAAAAAACTTGACTTTCACATTGTATATGCAATAGCAAAGAAATGTACTCTATGATACAGAGAAATGGTCTTAGAAAGAAGCAAATCATTCTTGGAAAGTAGAGCTCTAGAAATTAAAACCCATTCTCAAAAAATAAAAAAATTAAAACCCATTCTCAATCATTCCCTCCCATAGAGAGAAGTAGAAGCATGGCTAGTCAGAGGTGCAGACGTTCAGATCTGAATCAGGTTAGTGTTTCTATTGAGCGTCTGTTGTATTTTAGGTACTGTGCTAAGTAAGACCTTTCACATATATTATCTCATTTAAATGAAAAATTTCTTGGGGCACCTGGCTGGTTCAATCCATAGAGCACGCAGCTCTTGATTTCAAGGTTGTGAATTTGAGACCCACATTGGGTGTAGAGATTACTTTGAAAAAAAAAATTAGGGGTGCCTGGGTGGCACAGTCAGTTAAGCACCCAACTCTTGGTTTCGACTCAGGCTGTGATCTCAGGGTCCGGAGATCGAACCCCGCATCGGGATCCTCAGCAGTCTACTTAGTGTTTTTCTCTCCTTCTGCCTCTGCTCTGTCCCCTCCACTCTCTCTTCTCTAAAATAAATAAATAAATCTTTTTAAAAAATGAAATAAATAAACAAAAGATTTCTTGCCATAGGGATCCCTGCAATAGATCTGACTTTAAAAGTCTCCACGTTGACAGAAAACAAATGCATCATGGGTCACGATCCTTCCAACCCTGTGCACACATCCTGGGCTTCACAGGAGAAAGCTTCAAAAGTAAACTGGTTTTTGGTGTACTAGAAAAAAACTTTCATGTACAAAGCAAGCAGCAGAAATAAGAAAATCTGA